CTTCGGTGGTCTCTTCCAGCTCCCCATTGCCAACCTCAGCCTGCTGGATGTGGTCCCTTCCACCCCACCCCACCCACGGCCACCCCTCTCTCCCTGTCCTGCCAGGATTGCTCTATTTCAGGCCGCCTATGGCCACCCCCATGCCTTTGTGAAATGGTCTCTTCCAGCCTCCATAACTCCCCGCCACTCTCCCGCCCACCCGGTAGTCTTTTTCAATGAACCCCAGTCCCAGCAACAGGCATCCTCCTCTGTCAGATCCTGCCATGGTCACTCCTCAGACCTCCCATCAAGGGTCTCTTGCTGCCCCTCTTAGCTATTTTCAGGTCTATGTTTAAGGTGGGTTCTTCCAGCCTCCCCGGCCTTCCTCCTCCCCACCATGTGGTGGTCTCTTCCTACCAATTCACTGGTTCCCCCTTCACCCCATCAAGGGGTCCCCCAGCTCCCTCTCCTCCCTTCCCCAGGGTGCGTTTCCTCTTCTATGTCGGGATGGGGGGGTCTCTTCAAGCCTTTCAGGTCCTTCCCTAACCTACCAACGCTGGCTGGGTGATCTTCTATCTCACTTTCCTTTCACAGCCCCTCCTGACCAGTGTTTTCTCCCTGCATCCGAAGTCACCTTCATTCCCTCACCAGGCCTCACCATCTCTCCTCCTGTGACTAAAAGTCTCTTTCAGCTTTGTATAAACATCCCTGTTCCCCACTGGTCTCTTCCATTGCTCCCTTTCTCCTCCATCCTTTTTCAGGTCTGGGGTGGTCTCTTTCATTCAACTCATGCCCATCTTCTCTCTTCCATTTTATTTTCTGAGACAGGTTTCCCTCTGTCACCCAGGCTGGAGTGCAGTGGTGTGCACTTAACTTACTGCAGCCTCGATCTCCCAAGCTCAAGTGATCCTCCTGTCTCAGCCTCCCAAGTGGCTGGGACTACAGGCATGTGCCACCATGCACAACTAATTTTTTTTTTTTCTGTAGAGATGGGATCTCTTTTTGTTGTCCTGGCTGATCTCTAACTCCTGGGCTTAAGCGATCCTCCCATCTCAACCTCCCAAAGTGTTGGGATTACAGGCATGAACCACCGTGCCTGGTCTCCCTTTTATTTTGCTCATCCACATCTCCCCCTCCCTGTCTCTGCTTCTCCTCTTTAAGATGATTTGCTCAGCCAGGCACGGTGGCTCATGCCTGTAATCCCAGCACTTTGGGAGGCCGAGGCGGGAGGATCACTTGAGGTCAGGAGTTGGAGACCAGACTGGCCAACATGGCGAAACTCCGTCTCTACTAAAAACAAAAATTAGCCAGGCATGGTGGCATGCACCTGTAATTCCAGCTGCTTGGGAGGCTGAGGCAGGAGAACCGCTTGAACCCGGGAAGTGGAGGTTGCAGTGAGCAGAGATCGTGCCACTGCACTTCATCCTGGGTGACAGAGCGAGACTCCGTCTCAAAAAAGAAAAAAAAAATGGTTTGTTCCATACTTCAAGGTTATCTTCCCTCTCCTGTTTGGGGTGGTCCCTTTTCTGTCTCTCCCACTACTCCAACACTCCAACATCATCTCTCCTCCCTCTGCTGCCAGGAATGACCTCTTCCTTTTAACACTCTCCCACCCCAGCCCAGCCTCTTCCTTCTCTATCCACTCCCCACCATTTCCACCTCCTGCCAGTTAGATTCTTCCCTTCTCACTATTTCTCTGCCCCCTGACACAATGTCTTTCCTTACCCCTCTTCTGCCTAAGAAAGTCTATTAACTCTCACCCCTCACCCCGTTTTCCTTCTCTTTAGGACAGTCTCATTTTCAGAATCCCGTGACAACAATGATTTCCATCACACCATTTATTTCTCTTCCCTCCATCTCATGATGGTCTTTCCCTCTTTCCTGGTCTCCACTGATTTCTTCCCACGCTCCCCCATCTTGAGAACCATGATGATCCCCCCTCAGCATGGTAGTCTCTTCCACCCTGAAGGTACACCCCATCTCCCCACCAGGTCCCAGGCCACATCGTCTTACTTGAAGTAGCCTTCCCCACCAGGAGCACACAGGTGTCCTTGTCGCTGCTGCAGGTCTTCATTTGGCCATGGCACCTGCTCCCGGGCGCCTTACATATTTCGCAGCGTAGTGGGCACCCTGCAGTGTAGACAGAAGGCGAGGCTGTAGTCATGGGTGGTGTGGTCTTCGGACCACAATTTTGACTTAGGACTTTTGTGTCCTGAGAGAGGAGGGACCAGCAGCTCCCTGGTTTTTCATGGTCAGGATGTTGACCGCTGCCCAAGGAACTGTCCAGAGTAGGACGAAGAAGCAGTGGTGATGCCAGCAAAGCTGCTTCCAGGGATGGGAAGCGACTCCACCATGAAGCCTGTTTGCCTAATTACGTGGCTGGGGATTTTGGATGCCAGGGTCCTCTGAGAAAGCTCAGGGGCAGGGAGGGGTTGTGGTGGAGGTTTCCATGGACTTTTGTGAAACTTCAGGTCCAGCTGGTTCCTGAATGTGGGATTCTCCTCCTTGAAGGTACCACGTAGGTCTTGTAGACAGCAGGAGCTCAGACAGGGGGCCCTGAGGCTGGGGACTGCATCCCAGGTCAAGGAGGGAGAGTGAGGAGCAGGAGGGCAGAGGACTTGAACTTCTTGGTCCTGAGAGAGGGGAAATCTAGGGGCCCAGATACCTGGGTCCTGGGGAAAGTGAGGCTTGCCTGGACTCCTGTGTGCAGGGGAGGAGGGGACTAGGGCCTGAACTTCTTAGTCTAAGGAGAAAAGAAATCTCTTTCCCTCTTTAAAAAAAATATATATTATATTAATTTATTTTTTTGAGATGGAATTTTGCTCTGTCACCCAGACTGGGGTGTGCAGTGGTGTGATCTTGGCTCACTGCAACCTTTGCCTCCCGGGCTCAAGCAATCCTCCCACCTCAGCCTCCCAAGTAGCTAGGATTACAGGCACCCACCACCACACTCAGCTAACTTTTTTTGTATTTTTAGTAAAGACAGGGTTTCACCATGTTGGCCAGGCTGGTCTCGAACTCCTGACCTCAAGTGATCCACCTGCCTCGGCCTCTTAAAATGCTGGGGTTACAGGCATGAGACACCGTACCAGACTTTCTCCCTCTTTTAAAAAATTATATTTTTAAAGATTTCCCTTTCCAGCCATGCTCTCATCTGATTTCCTAGAATTGAGATGTATCTGGGATCCTTCCTGGAGGATGGAGGATTCAGAGCCCACCAAGCCCCTCTCTCAGGGACCCAATCACAGAAGCTTTTCTTCCCTGGGACCCCCAGGCTTTCTCTTCCTTTACCCTTGACCTCTTCCATAAATCTGAATTTCCAGAATGTCTGCCCATTCACCTTGAGGACTTGCTGAAGGCTCTCTTTCTCATTCTCTCTCTCTGTCTGGGACCTCTCTCTTCCTGAGGTTCCAGAGAGAGTCCAGGTCCCTTGTCACTTACCAAGACCCAGGAGGGTGCAGAGCAGCACGAAGGCCAGCAGAAGGGTCCCTTGTCTCCTGGAGGGCCTCATGGTGTGTGTATCGGCAGTACCTGGTCCCCAGCTTTTATAGGAAGCTGAGGAGGGGCGGGTCCGTACCCACATTCACCCTGCGGGGAGAAATAGCTGAGGTCAGAACCCAGGGCAGTCCTCTGTGGCCTCCGGGTTGGGAAGGCGGAACCAGAATCCAGAGTGACCTTGGCATCTTGTGCCCAGCCCCCCACCTCCATGGATACCCCAGGAGTCTGGGCTTCCAGCCCCCTCTTCCATTAGAACCCACTTTTCTCACCTTCCCACAGCCCATTTTTGTTTGTTTGTTTGCTTGAAGACCAAGACAGAGTTGGGTCACTTGATTCCCAGTGGCTGCAAGAACTGGGATGCCCTCTCCTTCTCTCTCTTTCCCTCTCCTCCCAAGGAAGCACCCAGTGTGGATAGGGCCCCACCTGGGAGCACCCAGCATGTCCAGGCTGGTCCTGTGGGTGCGGGGTGCCTTGTCTCCCTTCCCTTCTCTTCATGTGCTTGGCTCACACTCCTTGTATGTTTGGGCTGTCTCCAGCTGCGACCCCACCCCGGGCTGCACCCTTGGCTCTCCAAGGGACCGAATGAACAGAGGGGATCCCTGTCAGCAGCCATAGGCGGGCGTAGTAAAAGATGCCCACAGTCTACATATTGGGAAACTGAGGCTTTTGTGGACAAACTCCAGGATAGGGGTGTGTGTATGGGGGGGTGGGGGTTGGGCATATACTTTGCGTTATATTTAGGACGCTGAACCCTTCTCTTTTGGCCTCAGGCATAAGGCTGAGACAGATCTGATTTTTTTTTTTCGCGCGCGTGCGTGTGTGTATGTGTATGTGTGTGTGGGGGGGAGGTGGGGCAGGGGGACAGAGTGAAGAGTGCAGCCGCCTGAGCCGTTTGAGGAGATCCTGTTGCGTAGTATCCAGGTTTCCTAGGAAACTATGAAAATTCACTCAGATTTGCTGTCCTAGCCCAGTGCGGTGGCTCACGCTTGTAGTTCCAGCACTTTGAGAGGCCAAGGTAGGTGGATCGCTAGAGCTCAGGAGTTCGAGACCAGTCTGGGCAACATAGCAAGACCCGCCGCCCCCTCACCCCGTGTTTCCACAAAAAATACAAAAATCAGCCGAATGTGGTGGCGAGTGCCTGTAATCCCAGCTACTTAGGAGGCTGAAGTGGGGGATCCCTTGGCCCCAGGAGACAGAGGTTGCAGAAAGCCGAGATCCTGCCACTGCGCTCCATCCTGGGTGAGAGAGCAAGACCCTGTCTCAACAAAAAATTTTAAAAAATAATAAAATAAATAATAATAATACAGCAAAAAGATTTGCTTTCTAGGCTCCAGTGTGAGCGGTGACTGCATCGTCCAATGAGAATGGCGAATTTCTTCTAGACACCAATCCCGGAGGTCGCTTCTGTTGCTAGGCGCCTAGAAAGCAAGGTGCGGACGTCATCGGGAGGCGGGGCTGGAGCCGGGGTGTGTGGCAGAGGGAGGCGGGGCTGGAGGAAACGCTCGTTGCTAAGGAACGCAGCGCTCGTCCCGCTGTGGAGAGGCGCGACTGGGCTTGCGCAGTGTCGACGCCAGCGCCGGCGCGCCGGGGTTTGAAAGGCCCAAGCCTCGCGCGCTTGCGCACTTCAGCCCGCGCAGGGCGCACCCCACCCCCTCCCACCCTCCCTGCCTCTCGGACCCCAGACCCTACCTTATCCTTCTGGCCAGGCGAAGCCCACGACGTTGACATGCCGGAGATCCGCCTCCGCCATGTCGTGTCCTGCAGCAGCCAGGACTCGGTGAGGGACCTGCATGGGGGAGGTTGGAAGACGTGAGGGAATTAATGAGGACAACTCTTAAAAGAACTCTTGGGGTTCTTGGAAGTCTAAGGAGAGTCATGGGGTGATTTCCAGGAGACTAAAAGTGAATTGTGGAGAGATGTTGAATTAGGGACGTTCCGGCGTCTAGGGAACGAACTTCCGGAGAGAAAAGGAGGAATAAGGAAAGCTTTCTTGGAGAGCCCATAGGTGAACTTCCACGGGAAAGTGTTGTAAGGGAAACTCCAGGCAGAATGTGGGGGGATTAACGGGAGAGCTTAAGCCTGGAGGATCGTAGAGGCCTTGGGAGGACTCAAAGGAATCATCTGAGAGCTGGAGGCCTAGCTGTCATTTCTGTGCTCTAATTTTCCTCTCCCACTGTTGTTTCCAGACGCACTGTGCAGAAAATCTTCTCAAGGCAGACACTTACCGAAAATGGCGGGCAGCCAAGGCAGGCGAGAAGACCATCTCTGTGGTTCTACAGGTGATCCTGCCACCCCACCTCCTCCTCACTAGGAGTCTGGAGTCCGGGGTACCAGATTCTGCTCCTGAACCAACTGGCAATGGGTTGAGTCACTTTCTTTGCTGGGCCTCAGCTTCCTTACTTGGAAAATGGGCGGCATAATCCCTGTGCCCCTCAGCAGAGAGCAAAGGAGACCCAAGGATGAGGTCCAGGATGACCATAGGAATCAGTGTGTGGTCCTGGGCTGGTGGCTTCTACTTTCTGGGTTTCAGTTTCCTCAGCTGGAACAAAATGAATCATTGCCACGTACCCTGCCTCCTGCAGCCAGTGGGCTCGGGGCTGGAAGGTGTCCAGGAACGTCATCTAAGCCAATCAACTCCACTTTAAAGAAGGGGAAACTGGCTGGATGCCGTGGCTCATGCCTGTAATCCCAGCACTTTCAGAGGCTGAGATGGGAGGATTGCTTGAGCTCAGGAGTTCCAGACCAGCCTGGGCAACATATCAAGACCCTGTCTCTATTTTTATTAAAATAAATACTTTTTTTTTTTTTTAAGAATAATAGGCCAGGTGTGGTGGTTCACACCTGTAATCCCAGCACTTTGGGAGGCCGAAGCTGGTGGATCGCATGAGCCCAGGAGTTTGAGACCAGCCTGGGCAATATAGTGAGATGTCATCTCTACCAAAATTTTATAAATTGGCTGAGCATGGTGGTGTGCACCTGTAATCCCAGCTACTGGGGAGTCTGAGGTGAGAGAATTGCTTGAGCCCAGGAGATGGAGGCAGTAGTGAGCTGAGATTGCACCACTACACTCCAGCCTGGGCACCAGAGCGAGACCCCCAAAATATAAAAAATAAAAGAATAATAATGAGAGCTAACATTATTCAACATTATCTGCCAGTCACTGCTCTACACACCTCACTCACATGGATTAGCTCACTGAGTCCTCATAAACCCCAAGAGGTAAGCTCTGTTATCCCCACTTTTACAGATGAGGAAACTGAGGCCCAAAGAAGTTATACAACTTACCTAACAGTCAATCTTTTATTTATCTATTGAGACAGAGTCTCACTCTGTTCCCAGGCTGTAGTGCAGTGGCATGATCTTGGCTTGGTTCACTGCAGCCTTTACCTCCTGGGCTCAAGCGATCCTCCTGCCTCAGCCTCCTGAGTAGCTGGTACTGCAGGTGTGCGCCAACATACCTGGCTAGTTTTTTTTTTTTTAATTTTTTTAGAGACAGGGTTTCCACCATGTTTCCAGGCTGGTCTCAAACTCCTGGACTCAAGCAGTTCTCCTGCTTCGGCCTCCCAAAGTGCTGGGATGACAGGTGTGAGCCATCGTTCCTGGCCTGGGGGCTGGTTTATGACTATAAGGAGCAGAACACTCTGTGGATAGTGCTAGCATGAAGGAAAAATTAACCTTTTGTGAATGGGCAGTCATTCAGCAAATATCCACTCCTCTCCCTCCCGCTGGAGGGGGAGTATATTTCCCTGCTCCATTGATGGGTTTGACCATATGATTTACTTAACGGAATTTCAGCACATCTGACTTCAGCAAGGGCCTTAAATGCACTTGGGTTTTGTGCTCCCGTGATCTGCCGTGAGAACATTTGTCAGGTTACTGCTGATCCCAGAAAACTGAAATCTCGTGGAAGAGACCTGAATCCTTCCAAACTGCAGCCAAGCAGCCATCCCATGAACTCTTAGAAGAATGCTTGTTGGTGTAAGCTCAGTTTTCATGTTGGGAGGTTGAGGTGGGTGGATCGCTTGAACCCAGGAGTTTGAGTCCAGCCTGGGTAACATGGGGAAACCCTGTCTCTACAAAAAAATAGAAGAAATAGCTGGGCGTGGTGGCGCACGCCTGTAGTCCCAGCTACTAGGGAGGCTGAGTGAGGAGGATCGATTGAGCCCATAAGGTTGAGGCTGCAGTGAACTGTGATGGTTTCACTGCACTCCAGCCTGGCAGACAGAGTGAGACTCTCTCTCAAAAAAAAAAAAAGTCTCAGTTTTAGGATGATTTGTTACACAGCATTATTACAGTGTAAGTTAATACAACTTTGTGGTTTCAAACCACTGAGATTAGGGACTCCTTTGTTACTGTAACGTCATCTAGTCCATCCCAATTGATGTCAATGTTTAGCACCTGTCAACTAATGGCCTCCACTTCCCAGGTTCAAGTGATTCTCATGCCTCAGCCTTCTGAGTAGCTGGAATTTACAGGCATGTGCCACCATGCCTGGCTAATTTTTGTATTTATAGTAGAGACTGGGTTTCGCCATGTTGGCTAGGCTGGTCTCGAACTCCTGACCTCAGGAGTTCAAGGCAAATTAGCACCAAATGCTAATTTAAGTGATCCACCCACCTTGGCCTCCCAAAATGTTGAGATTATAGGTGTGAGCCACTGTACCCGACCTCAGTCTTTTAAACTGTGATAGGTACAGGTTGCTGACAGTTTTAGTCTTAGGACCTAGATTCAAGCCCCCAGCTCTTCCTCTTACTCGGTGACCTCAAGCAAATTGTTTAATTTCTCTAACCTGTTTTCTCATGTCTGGGAATAATGACATCCAAGCAGGAGTTGTGAAAATTCGGTGACATAATGTATGTACAAGTGCTCTGTCAACAAGTAGGTGTTTGTGTAGAGGGAGGGATTCGTGTTTTTATTACTTACTGGGTGATGATTCCGCTGGGCTCTCTTATGATCAGGTGACTCCAGTGAAATCACATTTCATTCTGTTACCCCAGTTGCTGTGGAAACAGAGTGACTGGAGGCAGAAGAGACAGAATCTGTCCCTGGCCTGGGAGAGACTGAGGGAGTATTGCAGCTGTCACCAACATGGTAGACCCCAGAGGGAGCAGCTTGGGAAGGTGATGTGTTTCAATTGGGATGTCCAGGTTTGATGTGACTTTGGGATAGTCAAGGGGTGGCATCCAGGAGGCAGTTAGGGATCACATGTGGAGCTGGAGACAGAATGTGGAAGTTGTCAGTGCAGGGAAAGAACCTATAGACTCGGGGGTAGGTGGTGGATTTATTTGTTCATTCACTCATTTATTTAGTCAAGTATTTATTAAGTGCTTTCTGTGGGCCAAGCACTGTTTTAATATAGCAGTACACAGCAGAAGACAAAAAATATTCACTGTCAGTGGGGTGCAGCAGCTCACGCCTATAATCCCAGCACTTTGGGAGGCCAAGGTGAAGGGTCATTGAGCCCAGCAGTTCGAGACCAGCTTGGGCAACACAGGGAAACCTCATCTCTACTAAAAATACAAAAATTTGTCAAGCGTGGTGGCCCATGCCTGTGGTCCCAGCTACTCCGGAGGCTGAGGCGAGAGGATCACTTGAGCCTGGAAGATCAAGGCTGTAGTGAGCTATGATGGCACCACTGCACTCCAGCCTGGGCAACAGAGCAAGATGCTGTCTCTTAAAAACAAAAGAAATTCAGTCTTGTGGAGCTTTCACGTTAGTAGGGAAAGACTAACAAATGAGTCAGTAAAACATATGTTGGATGATGAGTGCTATGGAGGAACTTAAGGAAGGGGAATGAGAGTGCCCCAGCTGGAGCTGGAGCATGGCAAGGATTTTTATTTCAATAATAGGATCGGGGAAGGCCTCCCTGAAAAGGGGACATTTGAGCAACATGAGCTATGTATGTATCTAGGGAAAAGACTCTGAAGCTGGCTTGTGACAGCAAAGAGGGCAGTGTGGCTGGGGTGGAGTCAGCCAGGGGGAGAGAGGTAGGAGATGAGGTAACAGGGTGGGACTGGGAGCCCCTAAAAAACCACTTAAGGCCTGGAAAGCCATTGAAAAGACTTGAGCTTTTACTCCGGGTGAGATAGGAGCCACTGGAGGGCTCCGAGCACAGGAGGGACAGGATCTGCCTTAGGCCTTCACAGGATCCTGCTGGCTCCATGTTGACCATCAACTGCAGGGTCCACACACAGGAGTGGGAGACCAGCATTGCAACAGTTATTTTGTTAACTTATTCCACGTCAGAGACTCTTTAGAATGACTGCTTGCGTCTGTCAATGACTAATATATGGGGTTACTCTGGATTCATCAAATGCTAATTTTGATTATTTTGACGTAACTGATAAGGTAGAAATTTCTGGCCACCAAGGCAGCAACCTTATCTCTGGGTTGTTTTGTTATGTTTTGAGACAGGTCTCACTCTCTTGCCCAGGTTGGAGTGCAGTTGCAAAGTCATGGCTCACTGTAGCCTCAACCTCCTGGGCTCAGGCAATCCTCCCACCTCAGCCTCATGAATAGCTGGGACTACAGGTGCGTGCCACCAGGCCCAGCTAATTTAAAAAATTTTTCGTAGAGATGGGATCTCACTGTGTTGCCCAGGCTGGTCTCGGACTCGTGGGCTCAAGCAGTCCTCCTGCCTTGGCCTCCCAAAGTGCTGGCATTACAGGCATGAGCCATTGCACCTGGCCACATCTGTGGGTTCTTCTACTACCCTGCATTTTCTCCTCTAATCATTATTATGCAACATCTGGATCTTACCACATGGGGCTTAGCCATCTGCTTATGACAGCCCCACACACCTGATTGTTTGCAGTAGCCACAGAAGGCTCTGTTGCCAGCTCATCACCTGCTCCCAGAGGGAAATGCCAACCTCTTTGCTAACTACTCCTGGGCTAGAGGGGTGGCTTGGATAAGACCCAGATATAACTCCTGTGTGTCACTGGAGGTGTGTCATTTTTAGAAGAAATGTTCATCAGCAGTAGGGCCTATGGTCATTTTTGATTGTCATTGGTTTTCTAGTCATTCAGTTTGCCACTGTGGTGTTTTAAATTTGTTTTTACTGTTTTTTGACGTGTAACATACATAGAGTGAAGTGAAGGTGTAAGTAAGCATAGAGCTCAGTGACTTCGCAAACTGCAGCCCTGTCTACTCCACACCCAGATGCAGCACAGAGCCACAGAACATGCCTAGCCCCCAGCAGTTCCCTCAGGTTCTTCCTGTCAGTACCCCTGCAAGGGTGACCACTGTCCTGATTGTTAACAGCATGGATTCATTTTGC